CAAAACATGACATGATCTAAACTCATTTGCCAACTAAGCCTGGCCGCCATAAATATAAAACTACTTATGGTTTTAATTTATCCCATTTTCTGTGTTTTGCCACAGAAATATTAATTTTTTAATTATAGCAAGTGCTGCCTCTTACCCCAGTGGATGAAATGCAGAATTTGCAATCTGTTACTGCCTTCCAAAATTTCAAATAATTCAAATTATTATATTATACTATTATTATTATCACTATAAAGGTTTTGGATTAGGGTTCATGGACCTGGATATTACTACCCTCATCAATAAATAATAGAGACTAACAGAATCCTAATAGAGGCTTTCCAACAAACACCTGAGTTTTTCCCAGACACAGAGTATATGCCTAGGAGCAGAGGAATGGACGAAACAATCTATCATCCTGTAAAGAACAGACCCAACTATCCCCAAGCTCCAAAGCCAGACTCCACAGCCATCTTGGGCTGCACCCTCAGAATGCTGTACACTCAGGCCTCCCTCCATTTCTCAACAGCTCTGACCTCAACCCCGCATCAAGGCCTCTTCACACACTGCCTTCAACAGTGATTTATCCATCTGTGTACATACAGGCACCTTCACAACTTCAGTTTAAATTCCTCAAGGGTACAGACATCCTTTGGATCTCCTCCATGGCTAGCACAAACTGACAGCCCTGTGGCTAGACAATCAATCAATGTGTGCTCATTGAAGAATGATCTTCTGTCCCCCACGTACAGTTTCCCTTTTTCAATTTCAGGCAGCATAAGCATTATTGTCTATCATACCTTTCTCTACGTACTCAACTTTCCTCCCTATAACACAGAAAGGCAACCAAACTTTTCTGTCTGTATGAGTATTGATCCAGTTAGATGCTTAGATTGGAACCACTACCTGAAGAGAACCAAACAGACAGCAAAACCCAGAGGTTTTGTCCTAGGAGTGCCCATTCCCCATTTCTACCTACAAAACTAAGACTATAAATGAGCAAGACAAAGGGCATGCCAGGCGAGGACCCAGATGGTTCTCACTGGGATTCTGCTAAGATTAAGTTAGTCACCATTGCATCAAAACATATTCTGAGCATTAGCAGTTTGCGAAGGCAACATAATAGGACCTTGAAATACAAAGAGATATAAAAGCAGTAACATATCTCAGAAAGAACACAGGTTCATAAGCCAACAGACCTGCCAGTGGCTGGCTGAGTGACAATCATTGTGGGTCCTGATTTCCTCATTTGTTATATGAAAGGTTTTCTATAGAGCTAACATCTTTGGAAATTAATTTTAATAGCTTAATAACAATTTTTTTAACTGTAATAATACATTTTAATAATATGTTAATTTAATCCAACACATCTGAAGCATTACCACTTCAAAATATAATCCATATTAGGCCGGCCCGTGGCTCACTTGGGAGAGTGTGGTGCTGATAATACCAAGGCCATGGGTTTG